TAAAGGGAAAAAGCAGATAAAAACATGTTCCAAGTTCAAAAGCATCAAAAGGAGACATTGCTTCATTCACCATAATTAAGCTATAAAACTCCTTACTCCAGGATAATAGGGATACTAAAAGTTTGTGCATTGAAAAATTAGTAGGTGAATTCTTCTTCCATTTATTAAATACAGTCACCGGAGGCAGCAAGATTTTACTGTATACCTGTCCTATTCTGTTCCCAAGCCAAATCCCACAGCTCACCGCTAGAGCAAAGTGCTCAGGTACTTAGTCTGATGTGGTAAAGCCTTTCCTAGGTTTAAGGTGAACAATAATGTTTCTGAAGGTCAAAAAGACAGGCAACATTATTTTTAACTGAGTTACTGGAGTAAGAGATGCTACTCAAAGGCACTTTTGACTTCTGAAAGTCTGGACTGATAGACTGCAGTTACATGGCTTTTGCTCAGCTTGCAACATAGGCAGCACAAATTCACATCCTCACGAAGAATCCTATATAGACAGATCTCATAACACTAAGTAATTACAACCAAATCTGATCTCCAAAAAATCCACCTGGGACTTACTTCCAATGGAACCTTTTAAACATTCTTTAATTTTAAAAATGCTGGAAAAATACAAATTTTGGTCCATTGTCATGGAATAGATACTAGAAAAAAAAGTTTATCCAAATTATGTATTTGAAGACTTTGTGGATTGTTAGCAAATAAGAATTGTAATTATGATAATCACCCTATGCAATAAAGTTTGACTCCAAAGCTGACTAGTGTGTGGATTTAACTGGGGCTATTCTAGATTATTCCCCATCAAGGAATCTAGATTCTAGACCTAATATTTCTTCAACTCATACCTTTATACAGAGCTATTTTGACACCTTGTTTGCTATTCCTACCGCTTATACCCAGCACCTTGCTCCAGACCAAAGGTGCATTCCTTCCCCAGGCTCCTTCCAGCTGCTGTCAAAGACAGAAGCAAGCAGGGACTAAGCAACATACTCTTCAGACTGATCTGCAGGAAACCCTTCCTTCAGCTCTGCCTGCGTAACCGTTTACTGCCATGCTAAAGGAGCATAAAAGCCAAAGCAAAGCAACTCAGCCTTCAACTATAAAAACCCACTAGTAGAATCCTAAAAAAACTGCCAAGGCTACTGAAAGATCTTACAGCATTTGCCTGCAAGGGCACCAGTGAGAACGTGGTATGAATCACGGTAAAAACTTGCTTTAGTGAGTATCATTATTAGCAAGCGGGTTAGCAAGTTCCTGGCTTGTGACAGCAGCTCATCTGTGTTACCAAGGCTCACTGGGGGGGAACAACCCACAATCGGACACCACAACTGGGACTGGAATGGCATTTGTCCAAAGTAACTTAGTGTCAATGACCATGACTGCCTTCTATTCCTCCTGGATTGTTACACTAGGTCCTGAGAGGTCCTCAGGACCTTTAATCCTATAATGTAAACACTTATATCTGTGCATGTGTTACTAAGCCATATAAAAAAAAAACCAATCCATTGAAACAGGCCTCTGCTGTTTGAAGACTAGGAACTGAAGTCTTCTTGTCTTATCAAAAGCTTTGTGCACCCTGTCATTAACCTTCGCAAGCAAAGATGATAACGAAGACAAACTGAGTTTCTTAGTGCCTATGCTAATAACCTAAAGTGGAAAGGCAGAGTGACTGGAGAGCAGGAAACCTTGAAAACATCAAGAGAAGGAAAAATAAATCTTTTGAAATTCTTACTGAGATTTACTTTTAGGTAAAACAACCTAAGCTTAGAGTCATTATGCCGAGTGAGAATAATTGCTGAAATTCCCAGTATGTAAAGGCTATTACGATTCAGTACTTGGAACTGTGGTGTAAATCACTTTCTCATATTCTTGCTTTATTCTGATCATTACTGCTCACAAAATTTCACTTCTGAGAAAACATCTAGATAACAGCAGTCACCTTTATTATCATTATGAAAGAACTAGAATGTAAATACAGCCAAAACACTTCTCTAGAGGGAGATCTGTCTAGCTTCTGAAGGATGTGCGTGTCACATTTTATGTGGGGGGTATTTACATCAATGCATTTGTCTCCTCTGCTTATTTTAGTTTTAAGATCAGACAATGTATTTGCAAATGTTTTCTTTCTGATTAATAAATAGCACAGTGATTGAACATAAAGGCTGGTTTTCAACACAGGTATATCAAATGTGCTGTGAACTTCCTGACCTAACCACGTCAAAAGTATCTGCTGTGGGACAAAGGGAAATTAAGGAAGAAACGGAGTTGTATCTACTAGTTTAATTCTGTTAGACAAAAAGGAGACTGACAAACTTGTACTTTAGAGTTGTTTCTTCAAAGCAAAGTAGTCTGTGTGTTCTGATTGTCTTTACAAATGCAATGAATCACCTGTTTTTAAGATGACAGGAAAATACTCAACAGTAATTATTTGTTTTAGGGTAAGCTAAAATTTGGCTAAGACTTTTCCCACAGGAGCTGAAATATTATGCGAGAGGATATGGCTGGCACAGCATGATCAGATAAATGCGTATGTTCACTAACTCCATGTGCCAGCTGAGATCTGAGAAGGAGGAAGAGGACTTGTCTGGTCCACAGTTTGAGCTGTGTGTAGCAGAACAAAATGGGCGGTCTTCTGAGCTGCATGGAAAACATGCCTGTCTTTTCCTTCCACAGATGGAAAAAGCACTAAGAGCTTGCTCATCTCCACAGCCGTTAAAAAGGAATAGAGCTTCCTGCTTCTGCATGAGGATAAGCAAACACCTCATTTTCAAGTGGATATATATATACAATCTCTCCTCCTTTTTTCAAAGATTAGAGCACTTACCCATTCTAGAGTAACAGCTGAACTACCGTTCATGGGACTACTGCATATGGATGGAAGTCATGCACTTCTAGAAAGCTCTCTTTCCATTGGAACCAGCCCAGGTGTGTTATTTTTGAGCAACAATTGCAGGCTTCAAATCAAGGCAGATTCACCTGAATAGCATATTTTCCTTTAAAAAGGTCCCTCCTAGACGCGGGCAGTAAATAGAAGAATATGCAAATACGTACAACTCACTGTTTCTCCTATTTTTGTTTTCTCCTAGAGACAGGATCACCTCTTGGTAGGGAGAACTCATGCCTGCTTAGCATCAGCACGTTGCCCTGTGAGACCAAGAACTCCCTCATCAGTCCAGAGCCATATGTTCTTTATGTTCTATTTGTTTATCTTCCTGTCTCCCATTTTCCCTACCCCTGTGTTTATAAATTCCTAATATATCGCATTTTAAAATATACACATATACGTGTCTGTGAGTGTGTGTATGTGTGTGTGTGCGTCTTGGCAAATAACCACTGCATAAAATACCAAGCACAATCAGCTTCCATATGCTCCACTCACATAACCAAGATTATGATTTAACACATAGGACTGAAGAACTGTGGAGAAACAGCACAAACTCTGTCATTTTCCTAATGCAGCGAGTGACCTTTCCTTAAAAGATTACTGGTTGTTAATCAAAATACTTGGAGGTTTACTCTTTCAAAGTATACACCTTTTCCTACTCTCAGAAAATCAGAAACTGTACGCTCTTTCTATTGCCCGTTTTGGCACACATGAGTCAGGGCCACAGAATAGATATAATTTCAGTCCTCCCTCCCCTCCTTTTAAAAAAGGTACACATTCCAAATTAGTGAATAACTTACCAGGTCTGAAACTTCTTCTGGATCATCTATCAACTGCCTTTTATTTACACTACAAAATAGTAATTGGAAAATTAATTAGGATTTATAACCCATAGGTTCTCCAAACTGATTCACAGCTGAGCTGGTATCTGAGAAGCTACACTACCCTTCTACTACACTAACGTGGAAACATCCAGTTTCTTACCTGTATAGTGTAAATTCCTTTTATGATTAACTTACATTGTTCTCAGCTCTTCTAGGTCAGCATCCTTTCCCCACAGCTAAAAGGGACAGTGGTAGACTTCAATACTCTTCCTGATCTGCCACCCTGCCATTCATCGGTTATGGAGAACTTTGACAAAAGACAAACTGTATCAAAAGTACAACCATTCCAAAGAGAAGTGCCCAAACTCATTCCGGTTCCAGCATTTATGTATGCCCTAATACTGCAGAGGAGTTATGATGACTTCTGTAAGGCAGACATTTACCTTGCACAGACAGCAGCATCTCACGCGATTCTGTTAGTAGGACTCCTAGGAGCACTCACTGTATCCATGTGCAATTCTTTACAGACATCACACCGTACTTCCTCTTCTCTAAGACAAGCATAAACAAACTCAAAACCTATGCCATGATGTTTCAAGAAAGAGCACCTTCAAACTGACCTGCTAGTGAAGCAAATTCCATACTTTACTCGTAAAACCTAAGCCAAATGAGATGATAGCTAAAGCAACACAGCCATAAGCTTTGGCTGGCTAAACCTCATCACGTTACTACAAAGTTTATAGAGCTAAGCTTGTCACTCACATGGCAAAAGTTTTTAGTAGCAAGTTACCAGTGTCAAAGCTTAGTTCCTGCAAATCTCTTCACAAACAACTAACAGCTGTACACCCCTCCCGTACAGGAGTATGGCTCTGAATGGGAAGCCTGACAGGAAATACATCATTACAAACGTCATTACATTATTGGCTGTCAGTAGATGATACTGCCAAAAAGACAACTCACATGGGTAACTAATACATGCTTCTTCGCATCTTGTCAAGCAATGTGTAAGAACGGCAGCTGGATTGAAGAAAGGGGGCTCGAAATAACTGATTTTTGTCAATTTAGAGCTCAAGCAAAAGGTTTGATGCCTTTTAGACTAATTTTTTTGAAAAATCTGTTGCAGACACCTCAGTGCCTGCAGTGACTATTGGGAGATGTTCACTATCATCACATCAATTGTCTATGAAACAGGTAATAGCATTTTCCAGAGCTAGAACATGCCTTCGATCAATGTGAATGCAATATACATACTGCATTGTAATCTTTTCTTCTTAAGGAGAAGACTTTGAAGTTTTATCTCAGGGAAGCCAAAATCAGGAGCAAGGTAATGTTCTGAGTATTCTGTTAGGGAATAAGGAGAGATACATCTCCCCAGACACACAACGTAGATGGAAGACATCACTGTCTGCTAAGGAAGAGGGAAATCAGCAGCAAGGCTCTTCATTTGCTCACAATTAGCATCCCAGTGATATTTTGTGAGTTCCTTTATACAAAAGATACCATTATTTTAGTAGACGCTAAATACCTTGTATTTAGACATATACAACTTACAGGGCATTCATCAATTTAAAATGCATGTATTTTCAAAAATAATAGCGTCTCCTTTATGTTCTTACTAGGTGTTTCAGGCTATCAGAAAAGAATTTTTAAAATTACTTTGCTTTCTTTATGCTGCTTTAATTAACAGAAGAGTTGATAATTGCATCATAATTAGACATGCTAGCATAATCATCCTAGATATGCTATTTTTCAAAAAACCTAATCAGGTATGTTTAAAATGTATAACTGGAACATTCCAGAGGACTTTAAGGATTAACCTCAGAAAAACAGTTCTGATTAGGTTTTGTGAACGAGATGTAGAACAATCAAATCCATCATCAGCTATCTATAGCTTCCCACTCCAAACATCCATACTGAAATCATACTGTTAAAAAAAAAAAAACCAAACTAAATGAAACTGAACTAACATACAGACTAAGAATAGGTAAGAACTACTCAACTACTACAGTGACGATTTGCTTCCTTAAACCCTTCCTCAAGTTTGTGTGGGACTATTTTTATCTGTACCAACCTGGTACAAGTTTCAGTAGAGTATCTCGTATAGATTATTTCCTAGAATAAACATAATATTCAAAAGCCTGTCTTCTCAGTTTTGAGAAGAAAGCATGGAGACGTCTCTGAGTTTTGTTTACTTTAACTTCAATCTGCCATGAGCATGATTCCATTTATCACAGCATTTTAAATAGGCAGTGCCAAAACAAACAAACAAAGCATCCATAGTATAACATCTCAAACACTTTCTATACCACCTACTTCAGTAGCTACAGCATATATGGTAGATGAAGCAATAGCATCTATTTTCCCAATGAAATAAGCCAGAGCTGTAAATCTTTATAATCTGTAAACCAGCTACAAATGAAGAACTGAAACACAAATAAAGTCATACTTTGTTTTTCCTTAACCTCGAATGATGCCAATCCTTACCCTTTTGAAGGGAAAGGATTCATTACATTTTTCCATGTTTCTAAATTCTGCATATGTTTAATAAGTTTACTCAAAAAGTAGCAATGCTTTGTGAGATTTTTAACATAACTTCCTGTGGTTCTTTTACCCCCTCTAATGGAACAGTTTTGTAATACAATCTCTGAATAACTTTCTAGTGAGCTAAAAAAAAAAAGTTCAAAAAGTGTATTTTTTCATTCTCCCATGACTCAAGCCCCCTGAATGCTCACAGTTTCCCACGGAATGACACATCTGGACGCAGACCACGTGCAGGGTTCCAAAATGGACGAGGAACTTTCTAGAAAATAATGGACATAGGAAAACAGAAATCTGTACGGCATAAACAAACTCAGCTAGCATACATTACTTATGTTATGAAAAACATTGACTGATATCAGTCAGTCTCATATGTAGGTGGTGTCCCTCCTTTACTTCTGCTTTATATTCACGCTACTTCTGCACGATACCCTTCTTCTAAAATACAAATTCCACAATAGAGCTTATTACTGTAAATAAGCATCATTTGCTGTTGATACTAAGTTCTAATACCAAATGTTTCCTATTAAAATGAAGGTTAAGTAAATTTTTAGTACTATATCATCTGTCCTACACGTACAAATGCATATCAGATAGAGACTGGGCTACATATCCAAGTATCCCACTAGAACAGAGAAAATCAGGCTCTGCTGAACTTAATTCATATAAAACTACATGCAAACAAATTAAATTATAAAATAAAGCTATGAAGAAAGGTCCCATGTGTTGCACACTCACGCTGCTCCTTGAGAATTTGTCTGCCTCTTACTTTCTTGGACCAAACTGGGTGTCATTTGTACTGCTCAGAAATATTCTTCAACAGGAAAAAGATAAAATGAAAATAATCAAAGTATAAACACTGTAAAATAAGCAAGAGTCAGAAAGACAATGGGCAAGATTCAGGACCCATGCCTGGGAACCAAAACGCTTCTTCATGTGAGCAAGTCAAAAGACTGTTGCTTTGGCGCTGCCTTGAGGACCTGTTGTGATTTTGGCATTCTGATTTGCTCCATCTTGTCCTCTACAAGTATAGACTGCCCACCCCAATGGTAAAAGTGTGAAGAAGAGTTGACTTGTTTATGGAAAAGTTAACTCCTTTTTTAGTGGAGAATTGCAAAATGGGGAATTACAGAATCATATCAAGAATATTACAGAATCATATCTAGAATGTGACAGTTCATGAGAGAAGGAAAAAGCATATTTGACAGGAGCATTCAGTTCAGACTAACCCTTAACTTACCTTGATTTCATCTATCTAACGGTATTAGTGTATTGCAACTTTCAGTCAGGAAAGTAATCATCTGGCCAGAGGAGCTTATAGAATAAAAAGGAGATTTGGAAACAGCAGACTGGTAACACAGTTGCTTCGGACTGCAGCATGTGTATCTTGTGCTAAAGGACACAACAGGAAAATGGGTTATGGCTGTGTGTTGGTAATGTGTGCTGTGTGTCAGTCTGTGTCCTCATATGTATAACGGGAAACACTATAACGACAGCACAGTTCTCCAAAACACTTAGCATGACTTCAAGAACCCCAGTGGCCCAAGTGCCACCGTTTGGAAACTATACAGCCTTAGTCTACTTTGATTATTGTTAAATATATAGCTTCAATAGCACTGAACTCAGCATGGGCTTCAAAATCTATCCAAGAAGCTGGGTAAATACTTAAACTGTTAATCCACAATGAGCTTCTTGTTACTAGCAAATTTAAAGGCAACTTCTCTATAACCTAAACAGGATATATATGTCCTCAGAGGTAACATACATTTATACAAAACTCTGTAAGGATGTTAGAAAACAATTAAAAAGTATTCTTGATACAGATAAAAACATCCAAAACTGTAATCCCTGTTTCTACTGAAATGAATCATGCATGTGTTTGTGCAGTACTTCCACACAAGTGAAATCTTTTTTTCCTGATTTGCTACCGAGGATAAGCAGGGAAAAAAAATCAACATGCCCTATGAAAGCTTTACACATGGTAGCTAATCTGCAGGCTACCCAAAATTTCTAGGGTAGATTTTCACCATTTCACCCAGTCTGATCACTAACACACTGAATGTTTTCAGATTCAGAGATCCAACAGTGCGTTAACAGAACACCGTAGGAAGAACAGTGAAAATCTGCCAGCCACCAAAAGCAAGGTTACCCCAGGAAATTAAACAGCAGATGCTCACAGCTCCATCAATGGAAGTATTAGAAGGAGGGTTAAGCATACACACAGAGCAGAAAACCACACGTTTACTCTTCCACTGCGAAGTTTGTTTAAATATTTTTAAAATAGGCTCTCTCCCCAAAGCAAAAAGATTTTGTAATTTTAAGAATGGTGACGATTTTCTGTTCTAAAATACACTCCCAATGAGACGACTACGAATCTGCACCTTTTATCTTGAGTGACGTGCTGGCTCACACAGCCAAACAAGACAGCAGCTTCCCTTGTCTGTGGAACCTGGTGAGTTCAAAAAAAAAAGATGGATAACTAAGCTGAAACAGAAAATTGAGGAATTTCTCACGTTTGTAGTCAAGCTCTAGAGGCGGATGTGAGGACAAGAAAAAGCATTAGGACAGGACAGTACATTACGGAGAGAGAATGCAATGGCTTCGTCAGAGATACCATCATACTTAACTGCCCGCTCCCTTGTTGAACATGGGCATTTATATACTATATTAAGGTTTTGGATCCCTTAAAAAGATCAAAGTACTTCTTTCTGCTCAAACTGCATAAAAAGTTAATTTGTCTCCTACGCGTTATTTACAGATGTGGGGAGTGCTACCACAGATTGAGGGAAGACTAGTTAACGTGGACAGATGAAATTTCAGTTGTTGATCACATCCTTTCCGAACACAGACCAAGAAAAATAGACAGTAAGGCAGTGTTCACTGGGAAGGTATGCTACTATCTACAAAAATAGAAAGAAAGTGCTTGCTTTTGTGGTTAGTCTAGGGAATAAAAATGGTTATAAAAGAATGTTATAGGTGTGGCAGCAGCTAATAACAAGTAAGGTCACAACAGCTGTCTGGTCCAACAGCCTAGAGGTGGTTTGTGCAAGGAGCACTATCCTGCCACAGGAAGAAACAAAGTTCAACTCTTTTTTCTCGTGCCAGCAGGGACTGGTAGTGCTGCAGAAATCAAAGCAGGCATTCCCCTTGATACCCTACAGTAGTAGCATTTCCAGACATCCAAAGGGCAGCATGGACTCGTCAAGGTCAGCCAGTTCACTATCTTAGCCGTGAAGCTGACCAGTTTGAGCTCCAGAGCAGGCCAATCTCTGACACCCCACCTCCTTACTATTTCAGAACACCCTAAATACTAGGAATCATCTTATGCATACCATTTCTTGTTGACATTACATGTCTTCTTGTAGTTTGCTTTTCTCTATATGAATTACCATGTAAAAGAATAACAGGAGCAGCAAGATATTTAATGGGATAATTAATATTTTAGGCTAGTTGTTAAAGCGTATGTGAGTTCATTTATTCTTGACTAGGAGGAGTGAAATGAATTATCTCCCTGTGCATCAGCGCAAAGTAATTACACACTATAAGAAGAAACTGATCTCCATTAGGAGTAAGTGCAAAAAAACTCCAGCTTATTACAAAAGGCTTATAATCAGGTCACTGCATTGGAGCACAATTTATTTACTATCTTCTGAAATTATTCAAATTGTTAAATAACCCTAGAATCAGCCAGTGCCTCCCCAGACGGCCAGAGAGAGAGATGAGATTGAGATTACTGTATCACCTGGAATGCTAAATGAATGTTTTTGACAATCTCACCTCTGCCCAAAAAAAAATCAATCTTTGTATATGTGAGTGCTTAATGCGGGAACAAAATGTATGTTCCTTCTGTTTGGCTGTAAAGCCCTTGGCACTCCTGTTGATCCAGATCCTATTCAAAGCTGTCAGTCATCCAGAGAGGCTACCATGTTGTTTCAGAAGAGGATTTATCTAATTCCAAACGTTGCACACAGTTATAATCCCACGCAATGAAACAGGGATCAGGCCATTCATCAACTGTCAAAAGGCATTTCATTTGAATTCGTCTAGTTTGCTGATGTTATTAGACATTCAGACACTGGAAACAAAGAATTAACATCTTTTAAATGTTATAGCTATATTAACCCGTCATGTTCTCTGCTCATGTCTGACATACTAAGGGCTTCAAAGAAAATTCTGTTAAAGCCCTACCCCTTTCACATCCCTGTAACTCTCTGCAACATACACCCTGTTCAATTGTTTACCAGTTCTGTTTTTTGTTTGAGAATGACATTTGTAAGGAAGACTAAGCCAAACCAATCTCAGCGGTTTTTGTTTTTAACTTCTCCTGTAGAACAAAACAAAAACCTAGTGGAGTAAATTTCTGAGTCTATTTTTTTGAACTGGGTCAAAAATGACCTAAGAATATAGTCTTCAACAAACTCCAACTAATTGCACAAAAAAGGGAGCCACTCTGAAAACACTAACTAGGTGTCTGCTTATATTTTTTGCAGATCTAGCTGACATGTAATTTTCTTTGCTTCAGTGATTACTTTCCCCAGTCTAAGTGGTTACAAAATAATGTGCTAGATATAGTGGCAGTTAACATCAAATAAGATCATAACAGCTGTCTAGTCCAATGGCACAGAAGTTATGCAAGGAGCACTATCTCACCACAGGAACAAACATACTAAGATGAAGATTTCTCTTCAAACAAATAGCACAAAATGGTCCTAGTGATGCACAGGAGTCCAAGCTGCGTGCTGTGCAAAGCCGTGTGTGTTAAGAGAACTAATAAAAAGCTGGAAAAGCTCTTTTCAATGCTTTGCCAGTTGTTTTGATTCTACAAATGCTAAAATCCTGTGCTTTGTATTCATAACTACCATTCAGTGGCAGCCAGTCCTTACAGTTATATTTACTGAGAATAGAAGATACTTACGTTTTTCTGTCAAGGTAACACAGAAAAAACACCTCCTGCATTTTCCAAGCAACGTGTAAGTAAGATCTCAGGGAAGATAGGCTTTCCCAAGACTTCTACTTGCACAGACTTCAATCCATATTATCTGCAGACTCCATATGATTAGAATAGTATGTATTACTGCCTCCACACATGTTGATCCTATTCTGGAGTCAGATGTGGGAAAGAAAGGAATTCCTGTGTTTCTGTTTCCTCCTCATTTTCTTCTTAGTGATTTGCTTTTCACATAAAGAAGAACTTAGTATTCCCTCTTTGCACAACATTGCCTTTGAAAAAGTGAACAGAGTAGCAACTAGAGAGGAGACATGCAGCTCACTTATCCTCAGCCTTGACCGGTGCACTCAAACAAGGAACAACTGTAAACTAGATCAATTTCCCCAAAACTACCAAAATAACACAAGCAGAAGAGAAATAGGTAGGCTAAAATGAATTCTGACTATTCAGTTTTAGCACCTTTGTATATTTTATGACATTCTGTGAATACTATCACTTATAACATCTTCCTCTTGTTAAACTTTCATTTTTATCCCTCTGTGTAAATACAGCAATTATAGTTTAACTCCATACGTTAGCCTAACACTGGTATAAATGATGATCAGCTAAACAAGAACGGAGGCATTTCAGAGCTCGCTCTCTCCACTTCCCAGCTTATTAATATGTTTCCAAGGATTATCCCATAAGCACTGCTGTTTCAGAAAGTGGCTTTTCCAAGGGCAATTACTAGAGAATTTGAATCATTTTCTACCCACCGTGAAACAGGTACATTTCTTGTCTACAGTAGGTCAGGTATGAAGCTATACGGGGTAAAGAATTACATGGAATTACAAACGTCACGTGCCCTCTAGCGGCTAGTCACTCTGATACAAGCTGCTCTTAAGACACTCGTTCAGAAAAACTGATATAAAGACAAGTCATTGGCAGTTGGCCAGCTTCAAGGTGTTTGGGATCGCATGGCACATAAGACATGCACGATACTAAAAAGTATTGTGCTTCGCTTTCCTTTGCTACCCACTATTCAACTTTGTTTTCAGGGTTTTTCCCCCAAAGCAAAGAGTGATAGGAACAAAATAAAGTTAACGCTGGCGTTTAGCCTTTAAGAAAAAGGCCAGTCTCTGAGGGAATGAGTGTTGCTGCTGTGGTATGACAGAAATAGTGAAATCTGTGCAATAGTTTCTGTAGAGCTCAGTCTGTTGCAATTAGGTTACCTAGAATTTATTCACTTAGTCTACCACCAAGTGATGTTAACTTCTTTTAAACAAGGACCTTGAGGCAGATAAAACAAGTGATGACAAAGGTTTATCTTTCTGGTCCTTCTGCCAGAAAAGTTTCATTCCGGAATCAAAAATTAGCCAGGAAGGCAAATCTTCTCCTTAATGTTATTATACTTCTCTTTCCAGTGCTATAGCACAATGCCTGGACACAATCCAGCCATTCACAATGTTGCTGTGAAACAATCAGCATCCAGATCAGAATCGAGACTTGGACTTCTCAGGCTTCCTAGAACCCACTGAGAAGAAACAAAAAAGCTCCATAGATGCGAAGCCACGCTTCCTCCATAATTTGTGGAATGCATAATATACACACGTGAACAATTGTGTCAATACAAAATCATGGTCTTTTCCACGCTTTAGCTATTTAACAATAACGTTCTTTAGGATGTGATTCAACTTCATTCTGAACTACTGCAAACCGACTCTCAATAAATACCTAGGACAGAGAAGAAAAATTGAAAAATAATTTTAAAAAGCATGTATTAATACAAGAATTAGTCATATACCTGCACCAGAATATTTTTGTCTCCGTTATGTTCCTGCAGCATCTAACAATAGCTAACAGACTCCACTGAAAAATAAATTGCCTGTCTGTGCCTGAGCTTAAGAAAATAGCAGTAATAGTTCACCATTCAGTTATCAGGCAAGCACAAACAGGATCAATTTATATCAGGAGTCACAAATTAGTAATTCTGGAATTTGAAAACAAGCAATATTGGAGAAAAGGTGGATGAGGGAAAATACTGCAGAGTCATGAGCAATAGCTTTAAGAACACTGAAATATGAAGTAAAACATGACACTTGAAAAAGATGTTCAATATGCCTGTATGCTGAAGTGCCTGTTTTAGACCTGCTCTATGCCTTGCATATAATTATGCTAACCGCTATTAGCTAGATTAGATCAGGTAATCATACAGGCTGCTTGGAAACATGCTGATTCTTGATTCCGACAAGTGATTTTTTCAAATTTTGGAGTCAGGTAATAACTTGCCTGTAGAATGCAGCTTCTAAAAGAGGAATTGTCATGAAATGTAGAAGAGTTCCAGAGCAGTGAGAGCACCTCTCGAAAAAAATTCCTATCACTACTGTCTCTTTAGGTAGTTTAAGTTCCGCATCTTCCCCCGGGCTATCCCACACCTGCTTCCATTCTGATAAAACCCACATTTAAAAAAAAACATAGGACCATTACAATATAAATACCATTCTTAATTCAGTCATTCACAGACTACCTCTATTAAAAAAAAAAAAAATCTACCCCCAATATCAGCTGAACACCTCTGAAATCTGGTATTTATGCAATCAAGAGATAACTTCAGTGGAAATAGGACAGATAATGGCACAGAAAGGAAGAGATTTCAACTGCACTATCACCACAATCACAGAAGAATGATTCTCTCCCTCATTCCTCCCACCCTTTCCATCCACACAAACCAATCTAATAATCTCCAACCGGAAAAATGTAAATAAATTAAAGCATTAAATAAAATCAGACTTACAGTTCTACCCTGATGTTATGGTATTTTAATAGTGCCAAGGGTTACCTGGTAATAAGGTCACCCTTCAAGAATAAGGAAGTATTCTGATAGCGGTATGACTCCCATTCACGGCAGCTTATATTTTAACTATATTAGAAGCAATGGAGATACTGAATTGAAGAGAAAGTGGGTGAAAGAAATTACAAAGGATGTGGTGAATTATATCTAATATCATAAGAAATTCACAACATCACCTTTCTCGTTGAAATCAAAGAATGACATGATTTCAAGATTTCACAAGAATTTCTGGGACAGATGTACAAGGGCACTGAACCTTTCTATTATTAATGGTGTAGGCAACACACTAAATCTGTATTGCATGACTGCCTTATGTGGTAAAGTTATGCAACATCAACTCTCCAATCTGTATGCTAAAAATCAGTTTCTTTTATGTTCCACTTATTTTATGATTCATCCTCACTATCAGTTTCCAGTGTTTTTCATTTTTGCACCCATAATTCCACACTATGTAACTAAATTAGGCAAATGGCTCAGCTTGACCTTGTAATTTTACTACTAAAAGCATGGACTCTTACCAGATGACCTAAAGTCTGGATTTTAAAGACATTTAAGGAGTTATCACTTAGACAAGTCCTTGAAGACCCAAGCTTACACACTTGAACCAACAAAAGATCCGAATTTAACCAGACAACCCAGAGTTGTCTTCTTCTAATTAGTTTTACAGAAGTTGTGAAATATGTCACAGGAAGCATGGATGAGAACTTCTGAAGTTTCATGCTTTAAGAAAAACAATTTTTTGTTTTAAATAAAGTCAGTAAGGACTAGGTTTTGATATTGAAGAGTATGCTTCTAGACAACAGGTGGAGTTGGCTACCTTACTAACACTGCTATCGTTTTAAGCAGAAATATGAAGCCAATATATATCATTATTAGGTGTCATGGGAGCAAAAGAATCCAAACAGATCAATGGCCAAACTCCAAAAAGTCTGATTGTAGGGACTGTGGGAACACAGCAATATAGAAAAGAGTTTGACACTAAACCTGCATGCAGGAGTTGCAAGCTGCAGCAAGGTAAGCAGGCACTGACATGGGTATTCCAGATTCTTCCGCTCTACATGCTTCATCATTCCTTATTTCAATTTGCTTTCTCTCACTCTTTTTTTTCCACATTTGTTTTTTCCTTATCGTGCTAGCAGGTTCAGAGGCATCTCTGAGATATTTCTTTTTCCTACATAAATTCTAGGTCCCTCCCCAAAAAGGGAAATGTAGGCTACCCCAGCAAATTAAAATACAGCTATTTACAGAAAAAAATATCCACTGAAGGGGGTTATATCTGGTCTGAGTAGATGAGCTTTAATGAGGCCTTAAATTGTAAATGAAAGCACCGTGTAAGGGAATAACTACTGCAACTTTTCAAAATATGTCAGTAATAAAACACACAAGTTTGCAACTCTCACAATGCCTGCCTAAGAACTGTGCTGCTGTCGTGAGAAGGAACGATATAAGGATTTAAGAGGTTTGGTATTGCATGCTTCAACTTCTAGGTTTGAAGTTTATTCACAATATCTAATAGTGACTAACATGCAAATAGAGAAAAGAAACTTCTGGTAGGTAATCAGTGTAAACTGACTTTGGTTCATTTGTCATTGCTATTAGCAGAGGTAGGGAAAAAAAAACCAAATACTGTATTATCTCAAGAAAAACATCCCAAATCATCTTATTCAGCTCAGATATGAAGACGGTACCATAGGTATGTTTATGTAAATTAACAGAAAAAAACAATGTGGCTCAGCTGAAGAAGAGTAACATTAATATGAAAATCTTTTGCTATTGAACAAATACTTCAGAAAAAGTTTCTTTTGTTATCTGTCCTTCAGATCATTTTATCTGAAAGAACTGCTTTCCACAATCAAAAATTTCATCATCTGCTCCAAGCTAAACACTCATTGGCAGAGACTTGCATTACTACTGACTTTAATATTTACAAGTTGCTTTTCTAGGGAGGAAATTGCTGCTTTTCAAAGCTATTTCCTGCCTCATGCATGTAGAACTAAAATATCGAACAGACTTGATATCCCTAACTTTTTCTGCTCTAAAAAAACCCAGCCAGCAGTAGTCATCCATCACGGTAGCAGTCCTGCTGTAAATTCCTACTTGTTTCTCATTTCATTTCTCCTCCTTTCTTTTCCATTTAATTTTCCCTTCCTTTTGCCGCCACTTAATCACATCCTATTTTTACATTCCCACTCTTCTTTTAATTGCTGAAATCCAAATATAAGTCAATCCCAAATAAATCAAGATACTAACATAATTTACACACCAAAGCTGAATATGGATATAGCATACTAGAAAAATCTCTTTAGCATTGTGTATTACTGTTTCAGCAACTCCATGAGAACTATAAATAACAGTCTTATAGCAAGATATGCAGATTTTGCTCTCAGATTCAGGAAGGGGTTATTCTTACATGACAACTTACTTCAAGGAACTGCAGGCAATACTTTTGTTGTTGTTTTAAACCACAGAGTATTGCAACACAAAACAAAGCAAGTGTTAGTAATGCTCTAATATTACTTGCTATTCTCCCTCACCAGCACACATGCATACATGGGCACACATATGCACACACACACACACACACACACAAACACTTTTAACTTGTCTGGTTGTTATTACTGAGTAGGAACTATCCTCTGTTCCATCTGCCCATCATCTTACGTAGTCCTTAAGGGTCTGAAGGTCCCATTATCTTAATATAAAAGATTATCAGCACCAATAGAGTCAAGAAGACACCAGAATTTGTACTAAAGATTTCTTCATCCACAACATAGTTACACCATAGATAGTAAACATTAGAGAGAATTCTTTAATAGAATTTTTAATTTTAAATACTGCAAATGAAAATGTGAATAAATATATCAAATAAAGAGTTCAAGATTAGGTATATCTACTTCCTGTTTTTGTATTTAATTGTAAGATTATTGTAATCAGATATTTATCTTGGATGATGCTATTTCTGCATAGAAAACAGGATTAACTACACTGGAACCATGTGATTAAAAACAAACACAGATGGGACTCAGAAAATCTTACTGAGTAATAATTTACAATATAGTTATTTTAGAAGTCGATACTAATCATGCAAAAAACTTCATATGGAGTAAGACAGAACATTAATGAACGTTATCTTTGAAACCAGATCCTTTGTTGCTTCCAGTAAGTGCTTTTTTTTTTTTTTTAAACTTCTACAGGATACTTCATTAGCTGTACCAATTTGATATTGATCTGAGGCAGTAAAAACAGTTTGAGAAAACATGCTAGATGTTTAGATGTCTTAATCGTCAATGACAGTATTTAAACAGAATGTACTGTATTTCCTTAGCATTCTGTAACCAAGTTGTTGGATTCTTATTTAAAAAGGATATAGTTATACAAGAGCAAACACGTAAACTTACGCATGAAAAATCTGCTCATGCCACCCAGTGCTGGAAATTTTTAACTGAAGCCCACTATGACTACTGATACCTTTTTAATACATTAAGCAGCAGAGAAAAGTGATGGGTGCTCCCAGTTTGCTGCAGTTTTGCATGGTGTTTTTGTTGGTATAAAACTCCATCACTGCTGTTGCTTCTTTGAAAATGTATCTATTTAAAATCAACACAAACGTCACAGTCATTCTACAGGTCCATTAAGTAAGGGTGAAATTACAGTGTCACTGAAGGCAAAGTGACTCCATTGTGGACAAAGATTTTGTTTTGTATCACAGCTTTTCAAAGAGCAAATGCAATTCAGGCTGGATGTTCTGAATGACAAAATCGATCTTTTGGCTGAAGCGAAAAACTAATGGATAATTTAAACATTATGAAAGGTGGGTATTTTTAATAAATTTGGTGGAACTTTTATACAGTTTAAGTAGTATCTCTATCTTATTATTATGCATTAGGCAATTCAAGAAGGCCTTGTCTAAGGCTTCATTGCTGCGGTTTTGAAGTATGATCATGAATTGCAACAGACCTGGAAACAAAAAGTGTTTTTGAAACTCTTTTTTAATATATAACTCATGACCCAGATAAAGCACCTGTATCTAGCAGTTAACAGTCTTCTGGGCTCGATTTCAGAGTAGAAGTAACTCTCCGGAATGCTGCATGTGTATTTTGGAAGCCATGCTTCCAAAGCATCTAGAGTATTTTGAAGATGGATTTTAATGGATTCTGTCTTGTAGATTAAGAATAAAAACTTGTGAGTATCACCATGACCTTTTTTGTATTGTTACCAACACATTTTTGTTAAGCTTTCTTCTGTAAACACATAGGCTAATGATAAATTATTTAAATAGGTTTTGTATGCTGAAACGCTTTATGCTTAAATGTCTCAAGGATTATGGTCCTTGCTGCTTTAGCACTAAAGCCCTATTTAGTTAAATCATATTCAGGCTTTCAAAAGTAAAATGATTTTTAAAGCTGTACAGGCTGCTTCTGACCTCACTGGTAGGTCAAATGCCAGTTTGGGGACAACTCCGTAAGCTACAAACAGAGGTACAGTTCCGAGCCCAGATCTCCGCAGTCCCAGAAGGGCAATCCCCATTTTCCTGCAAAGGTGCAGAAATGACTCATAGGACCAAAGCCTAGGTGTTTCTTTACCGCTTCAACAGCTTTACATTACATTACAGGCTGGTAGGAACAGTATTTCCCTCTCTCCCTTCTTTCTAATCTCAGTACAATACCACAGTAGAAAAGATGGTGGCTGGAGAGACTTGCCCATGACTACCATTTGGACAACTCCAGATATGAATAGTAAAATAACCTAGATAAAGAATCTATATATGCATTCATTATATTCTGATTTCCCTTTATCAAAGTAAGGGTGCTTTTCAGCAACGTGCTTGCTGGATTGTCCATTAACAGAGCACAGTAATACAAAGAGTCAATTCTTTCCAAGCGATTGTAATTCAAACGGAAAATTAAAGTCTAACTCCATATACAAGTGATAAGCAATGGCTAGGTTGTTACTAACTTGAAAACAAGCTAACTGCACAGCTTAATTTTATAATAAATAAATTGGATCTTTGAAACGCCTTGTCTAAACTGACAATTTTCGGCCTTCCTTCTCTAGTGGATTTGGGAAACCCAGTGACGATAGGAGTGTCAATGTGGTTTCTCCCGACTTCTTTGCTGTGCTTTGCTACAACTTGTACCCTTACTGCTCCTGCTGTTTTCCTCATCTGTTTCTGACTTGACAGTTGATTAGCATGTAAGTTACTGTATCTCAGACAAAAATGCAACTTCAGTGAGGTATATGCAGCAGGGACAGAATAACCCTTCAAGACTTCTTCTAAAGTAAATCATCAGTAATAAATGATGGTGGTAATAAATGACAGTAATTAAAATAATAAGATAATGCAGAGATAGGGAATGTCTTTAATCATATTTTTAACATTTTCAAGCTTTTAGTAGGGCGTTAAGAAAAATGGAAGGGAGGATCGTTTTTGTAACTGACACATGGAAAAATGTAAGGCTTGTCTCAGTATCTAATGAACAGAAGACTCAGTCGCAATGATATGTCAAGGCCTTAAAATGAAGAGTAAATAATTTGCAATTGGCTTTGTTGTGTAAACCACTTTATATGAAAACCGTGGGTGTTTTTTTAAAGAAGGCATGTGAACATCAACATTTCACTTCTCTCTCAAGTACGTATTAATGACTGAAGAGGATAAGATGTATCTTGTTAGGTCAAGTTCTACGATCTGTTACTCAGAATAAAAAAATCACTATATAGTTCTTAAAAAACATATCTGTAGCCTTACTGCTAAAATACTGGTATAAAACCAGAAAAAAATGTGACTAAGGAAACGTCTCCAATCATCTCTGTAAGGCTTCCTTACTTCAGCATGGCTTCCCACCACAAATAAGGAGTGACTATAGAGGTGGTTTTTTGCTCAAATATTTGTGCATCTTCTGATCAGTTGAAGAAATAATATTCTCTAGGGAACTAAATGCATAACTAAGAGGCCCAGTCTTTGGTCATAGAAACCTAGCAGACAAACATACAGTTACATAAATTCACACAACAGTATGGAGGTTGCTCTTAACTGCTACAACATCAGGCATTCATCTTCACATTTGGACTACAGACTCACAGTTGTACTTCATATCACGGCCCCCTCAGCGCGGGCCGCCCCCGAGGCGGCGCCTCCTC